CACGTCTTTAGGGCATAGCGTTGCCAGATCGACCCGATTTGAAAACTTTTCATCAATGTTCGAGAAGTACCAAGATCTAGAAGAGTTTGTGTCATCGCCGCCAGTTTCTGCACAGAAACGCAAGAGATCTACGAAAAATGCGCCAGGTAAAACTTTGCCTAGTCGTAAAGCCTCGGTTTCTGCTGGGAGTACTGTATCACGAACAGTTTCTGAAAGTGTCATAAATACAACTGAATCTGTTCGTGGCCAGTCGTATGCTAGTGTTGTGGCGGAGGCAGCTACTGAAGCCAGAAAGGATACATCGGAAGGAATAATAATCCCTAAAACCACGAGTGTTGCTATCCCCAGATTGGAGACAACTACTCATGGAATACAGGAGTTATCACTTCCTTCAACTGATGCGTCTTCAGTGGCTGCTCCCGTGGCTTCAACTGGTATAATCCCACAAACCTCCCAAAGGCCATTAGTAACGGTTCCAGCCATGAAAATGGTATTTGTATCTAGGTTTGCACCGGATACTACGGCTGATGATATAAATTATTATATTAAATCAAAAATTGAGGGAAGTTAATTTTTACGGTGCTTTAAGCTTCGATCAGTATATTCAGAGAGTAGGTCTTCATTTAAAATATTAGTGCATGAAGATATAGTTACAAAGTTGATCTCGAGAGATTTTTGGCCTTCTAGAGCATTCGTAAAAGAATTTCTATAAAGGATAGAAAATTTGGCTCGATTGCCTCGTAAACCAGAAACGGCTTCAAAAAACTAAATAATTTTCTTACTATTTGCTACCAGAATGTAAGAGGGTTAAATACAAAGTTTATATGCTGATAGCCATGGTTTTGATTATAATATTACAGTATTTTCTTAAACTTGGCTTAAAATATCTGTGTTTAATAGTGAAATTCTAAGTTCAAAATATCAAATTTTTAGAAAAGTTCGAATAAATAAAATAGTTGGCGGTGTCCTCATCGCAGTAGACGCGAAATATTCCGCTAATGTAATCCAATTAAATCATTTAACTGATATAGAATTTGTCGACATATCCATTGAATTGGGTAAATTTAAATTATTCGTCACTTGTTCATATATTCCTCCTTCATCGCAGCTTGATATCTATAATCAGCATATATTAGCAATACAATCCATAATTAATAAAATTAATGATTCGGACGGAATATTAGTTGTTGGAGATTTTAATATGCCATCTGTGAAGTGGCTTTCATTGCCAGAGTCAGAAGGTCTTACTCCATTGACATTGATAAAAATTTAAATCAATTTACTTCTGAAATTATTAGTCGATTTTGTGACATTAATCTCCAACAAATAAATAATATAGTAAATATTCATGAGAAAAATCCTTGACCTAGTATTCGTTAATCATACACCATATTTTGAATTAGTTAGAATACCTCCTATTTGTATTCCTGAAGATAATTATCACCCAACTTTATGTATATCCATGATACATGATTATTTAATTTCTAAGAGAGTAAGAGTCCTATTGATCTCGAGTTTACAATAGATACATTTTATGTTACTCTAAACAAATTTATTTCTGAATGTGTTCCTACTGTTAGAACTAGAAGCTCTGATAGACATCCATGGAATACACGCGAATTGTCAAGTATAAAAACTCAAAAAATAAACTTTTTAAAAAATATAAAAAATCAAAAAAAAAAAAAAGCTATTCAGTTGCTAGATCAAAATATACAATAGGCTAGGCTATTAGTGAAGGTAACAAAGACTTTTGGGATGTCAGCATTGATAAGCTTGTATGACAATATCTCAATTGGAGGAAAGATATTAAACCGATAAAAAATATAAAGTTGATCGATTTTTAGTCAATTTCGTTATTTAATTTATAATTGAACCTAAATTATTAAAGCAATTGCAAATTTATATATAAATACAAAGATTCCACCTTGCATCATAGCTATTCTGAAACAAATTCTTATAAATATAATATATATATATAGATTAGATATTTAAAACATGTTTAATAGCCTAGACATACGACAGCCTTAATTTGCATTAACAGCCTTAATTCAAATTAACTTGTACATTATCCTCATCTTTATGTGTGTTAATGCACAAAATCAAACTGAATTTATACTGAATTAGGCGATTTCAATATGGCAATGCTGTCGAAAATTAATTGTTTCTTGTCAAATTTATTTATATTTATGAAAATAAAAATAAGAAATGAAGGCAAATTTCAACCATTTTTTAAACTGGGAGCTGTTTTGCTGAGATCATAGTTGCTATTCCTCCTTTATGTGATGTATCTACTTCCTAAGATGTAATCTTGAAAAATATCGAAACAAATGTACATCCTACACACAGACTAACATTTGTTTTGAAGCAAAAAAACTGTTTCGTAAATTCAGAAACGCTCGTCCGTCAGGGGTAAATATTAATTCAAATTAAGGAATTTTTAATGCAAATTAAGGCTGTCGTCTGTCTATGGTATAAACATGCATTTTATCATGACTATAGACAAAGAATTATTAAAAATGATCTTAAGACTTTTAAAATAACTTGAATTTAATTATAGGGATGCGTTTCAAATCTTCACTAATAATAATTTATTTATTACATATTTAAAATTTTGTTGAATTTTGATATTTTGGTTACATTTTTTGATTAAGGGAACCCCCCATTCTCGATTTTTTATTTTTAAGATTTTAAATGGGATGGTATAAGAATGCCAATGCTTATTATGGTTTGTAACTTTGCACATATATATTTGAAGATTGAAAAAGGAAAAAAAATAATTTACAAAAAAGTTTTGTTGTTGTTTTTTGTGATTAAGAAAAAGTCCTTATTTTTGATTGCGGGCATGATAACTCCTCACTGGAACATTGGAATCCGAAAATTCCAACAGGGTTAGAAAGAGTACATGTCTGGCTCCTGTATGAACTAGGATTATTGACTTCGCACAGCAATTACAAAACGTCCCAAATTTTGAAATCGACCGGATCATTAGTTTTTGAGTTATCGTGCCCGCCATTCGCAGAAGCGCTGTTGGGGAAAAATGCATTTTAAGTTTGAGAAGCCCTCTTGCCGTCACTTGACGCTAGCATAATAAATCGGCTATATCTTCAAAAATTTTTGAGATTTTCACTTGAAATTTATAGGGACATTCTTGAATTAGTGTAGGTTCGAATTAAATCAAAATACAAAATTCAATTTTTTTTAAACCGAGGATTTGGGGGGGGCGTGTCCCCTTAAGAGACATCGACAATAGTATTACTTACACAGCAAAATGTGTTTCTTGTACAACTACATTTGATGTTACCTTATATTATTATACCATGGGATTGAGTTAAACATTAAAAGAAAATTCTGCTACCCCAATTCCCCACATGTCCATAGGAGAAAGTCTTAAAAAAAGGCCAAAGGCAGTCTACGTAAAAAAATTTTAAATTAAAAGAAAATTCTGCTCGCGTAGCCAAATATCAAATTATAAGATATTTATTTTTTTTTTGAGCCCCTACTTGCGGAGGTACGAAGTTTCAACCATATTGGAGTAAATATATTTAATTAAAAATTGGGTTATTTTTGGAACTTAGAATTAGCACACACCTAAAGGGAAAATGTATTGATTAACCCCCGATTCGTTTGGAATATTTTTAAATTATTTTTTATTCAAAATGCTAATGTTTCCTGTACTAGAGCGATTAAGCGTGAAATTTGTGATATATAACAGTATTTATGAAACAAGTCATATTTTAGGGGGCACGTAATTAGCATATCTTGAAATTTTTAACTTAAATGCTGGTAATATTAAAAAATCTATACAAAAACAAATTGTTGTTAACAAATTAAGTCTAAATAACCCTTTTTAGGTGAAAATATTAAAAAGAATTAGTAAAATCTATTAAAATTGGCAATAATTTGTACTGTAAACCTAAAATTGGGAAAGTCAGCCTTTCTATAAATTTGAGATAAAAAAGGGAATGGTTGAGAGAATAACTAGAAATCAAAAGATATTTATCAAAATAAAAAAATAAAATGCGAGGAAACATACATTTTTAATGACATTTGTAATATCAAATCAGTTGTTTTGGTAGAACAAAATAGATTTGGTCGAAAAAAAGTTATCAGTCGAAACAAAAAGATCATGAATAGAGATGTATGTTGACCAGTATAAAACTATAATACACAGCGAAGACTTTTCTGATTTTTTTCATACTTTTTTCGTGGGAAAATGTATGAAGTTCCAAAAATGCACCAATTTTGATTATTTTTTCATTAAAAAATTTGCCTTTTTTGGCCATATTTCAAAATAAGCATGTTTTTCTTACCATTTCTTTGATTCCTGATTACAACAACACTACATTTTTTCGGGGGGAAAATGTTTACTTCCCGAGATATTTGGTTCCAAAGTACCCAAAAATGCACCAATGTTGACTATTTTTTCATTCAAAAATTTGTATTGATTGGCCACCTCTCCAAGAAAAAAATATATCCCCATAATTAGGTAAAAGTGCCCACATCTGTAAATAATCTCAAAAAAATCTGATAATTTTTACTAAAGTTAAGCCCAAAATGGGGTGATTTTCGTAACGTTGGAGCCCCAAATCTCAGGAAGTACACATTTCCCAAAAAAAAAATCGTTATCAGGAGAGATACCTATGAATTTTTGTGAGAAATGACCTTAAAGGAAATATAAGGCAATTATTAGAATATGTATGTATGCACATTTAAGGAACTTTCTGGCCTTTGAATTAAAAATGTATTAACATTATTTCGTCACAGCATACATTATTTATTTCAAATATTTAAATTGAAAGGGGTTCCTTTTCAAAGTCAAAAATATTTCCGTTTGTATCCTGCCACAAACACTTAGTGAAAGATTTACAAATACTTTTAAATATGCTGTCCGCCATTAATAGTTACAAATTCTAATTAAACATTATTTAATTTGAATCGACAAATTGATTCTCTAGACTAAATTCTGTATGCTTTATTTGCGTTATATACACAATAAGTACCTGAACATCTTCGTTCTTAAGTTCATCAATAAGAACTGCAATTGGGTACAGGGAATCATCCACAGTTTTATCACTTGTCGCCATTGAAAAAATATTTTCACAAAGAAGTGCAGTACTATTAATTAATACAACTTCTTTATATTTATTTAAGCACAGTATCCGTGATTATGCTTTATTTAGAGAATTTACGAATGATGAGACTAGTCCGAATTCACTCGTAGCGACGACCTTACGGCGCTGCCAGATTGAAAATCGAAGAAACATTCCGCATACATCTGGTAGGCCAAATATTTGAAAAGTTGCCAACCTTCAGATATATCGCCACCAATGTCGCGTTTAGACTATGCCATTTAACGTAATCGATTTCTAAATCCAAATGGTATAGAAAGTATTAAAAATAAATTAATAGTACGTTTAAATCTAACCGGAATAACCACTGGGTTATTCAAATGTCAATTCCTTTGCATATATGACAAATAATTCCGTCTAATGTATATGCCGTTTTTATTTAAGTTGTATGGCGCAAAGTGAACAAATCGCATACATAAAGAGTTGCCTTTTTACATATTTTGTTGTTATCAAAAATTGAAATGAATAAAATAAATAAAATAAACGACATTTACGTTAGAACTTTTTACCGGGTTAACCAAGTTTACAAGGATTTATTTGACATATTTAAAATGGAATTGACAATTTAAACCCACTGGTCTAACGAAATCCGGTACAAAGTAAACGTACTATTACGCACAGCTACATTTGGTTCTCATGGGGTATCAAATCTTCCTACCTTTAACATTATTTGTGTTTTTTGGCGGGTTTTTGAACGAATTCGCTTCAATTATCGAATTCTTTTGGGGTGTAAAACCTACTTACCAAAAATTAAAGAAAGTTCCTCTTCTTTTTCGATATTAAATTTTCAAACTAGAATGTATGCAATTTTGAATACTGTTGTACAGTTAGGTACACTGTACGAAGCGATTTTTTTGATGTTTAACGAAAATATGTGTTTTCTCAGCGTTAGATTTTTTATTTTTTTATTTTTTATTTTTATTTATTTTATTGCCACGAAAAAGCCATCTGGCCAATAAATATCGCAACAAGCCAAAACTACAAAAGTGTACTTCACATTATAAAACGTATCTTATAGCTATACAGTATATATCTTAATATAAATTATTAATTCTAAGTAACAAACTTTAAAGCATATTTAAATTCATTTTAAAACTAAACAGTTCATATACTAACATAATATATGGATTTTAATTAACAAACTACAAAGCAGAAAAGGCTCCCCAGCCATGTAAAAATAAAGCAGTAAAGACTATTGTTGGTAATATCTAAGCAAAAGAACTGAATAAAGTCGCATCTACCATTAAAAATTAAAAAAAAAAATTAAAAAATACATTAGTCCAGCATGTAATTAACAGCAAAATCTTCAAACTTGCGTTGAAATACACTGCGCGAAAAAGAAAAATGTCGTAGTTCAACAGGAAGTTGATTCCACAAACGTGACGAACGAATAATAAAAGATCTTTCATATAAACAAGTGGAATAGCGCGGGAAAATTAACTGAGTGTTCCTGGTAGATCTAGAGAAAACAAGTCGATCACGCAGGACACCGGGAAGATCTAACGTGACAGATTTATATAGAAATGAAATAACTCTTTTCTTTACGAAAACAGAAAACGGTACTCCTAGAAATTCAGCCGCATAAGCTGAAACATGATCTGATCGACGTAAATTATAAACGTACCTTACAACCATATTGAACAATTTTTCTATTTTGTTAAAATGCTCATGTGTGGTGCCAGATACAACTTCTATACCATAAGAAATAAGCGATATTAACAGAGAATTAGCAAGATTTCTCTTTACAAATCGTGGCAAATAGAATTCAGTTGAGTATAATTTTCGAAGAATATTCATTACTCTAGGGTGTAGAGCATCAATATGAGCAGAAAAATCAAGTTTGCTATCAACAATAACTCCTAAGCACTTTATGCGATCAACAAACTCAATAATTAATCCATTAACACGTATATCTATACTATTGAGGCGACATAAAGGACCATATCCCATTGCTTTTGTCTTTGTAACATTTATTACTAGGTTATTATTACATAACCAACGCGATACTGCGGACAAGGTATTGTTAATGTTAAACTCCAATAGGGAACTAGATTTGCCATTAAAAAATAAGTGAATATCATCGGCATATAAAAACGGTCGACATCCGCTATTATGTAAACAGTTACCAATGTCATTCACGTATAAAACAAAAAGAAGGGGACCTAAAATTGAACCTTGAGGTACACCACTGTATATATTAAGTTTATTAGAAGTCTTGCCATTTAATGAAACATACTGGGAACGCCCAGACAAATAGGAGAGAACTAAATTACAAGCTGTATTATCAAAAGCATAATTAGATCGTAGTTTTTGAATTAGTCTCGAATAATCTACACAATCAAATGCCTTGGATAAGTCCAAGGCCACGAGAACACCACTTTCACCTCCATCAATTGTCTCTCTGATAAGATCAGTTAAGTCTACTAAGAGAGATGTAGTACTGAGCCCACGCCTGAAACCATATTGGTATTCATTTATATATTTCCGCTCATCAATAAATTCTTGAATTTGCTCCAATATGAGGTGCTCGGCAACTTTTGAAAGTGCGGGTAAAATGCTTATTGGTCTCATATTTTCTATAGTCGGTGTTTCTTTAACTTTGGGAATGGGGACTACTCTAGCAACTTTCCACGCTTGCGGAAAGACCGATGTAGTAAACATAGTGTTAAAAAAGTGGGTCAAATGCCTAGATATGTATGGGTAAATCAGTTTTAAAAATTTAATAGGTATACCATCTATACCCACAGATTGGGACTTAACCCGCTGAAAAGCTTTAAAAACATCAATTTCAAAAACACAATTAAATGATAAAGTATATTCTTGTCTATCAATATCGGGTAAATCTACATACGCATTGCTAATACTGTTGTTCTCAGTAAAATATGAATTTAAAACATCAACATCTAAATCAGTTGTAAAGTTAGTGTCACTACCAACGATACCGCCGGAACGAAGCTGTCTCCAAATCTGTGTCGCGTTTAACCCATTAAAATATTTGACGTAATATTTCTTACGTTCATTTCTAAGAACACTCTTAGCTTTGTTCCTAAGAGTGCGATACACAGCCTTATTCTGCTGCGTAGGATATTTTAAATAGTTCCTGTAGGCAATATCTCGCAATGAACTTGAAAGTATTATAGGACTACTGTTTAACCATGGTTCCATGCAAGACACTATACGTTTTTTAACAATAGGGACGAAAGAAAATAGATTCGCAATAAGGAAATCAAGAAATGAAAGCTGTGTATCAACATCAGATGTTCTATAAATAGTACCAAAATCAACTTCAACTATATAATTATGTAAACTGTCCCAATCAATATTTTTGTAGTCACGGTACTCAAAAAAGTGTTGTGTGGAAGTAATATTAACATCGATGGCACCGAAGATTAAGGAATGATGTGAAATAGAAGGAACTTGTACTTGATCGTTGAAAACGAAAGAGCATGATTGGCTATAAGCAAAATAGTCAATTAAGGAAACAGAGTCCGTAGCGATATTCAAATGCGAAGGCAACGAGTTATGACCAATGGAAAGACCTAGACGGAGGCAAATACTCCTCATTTCAGAAGATTTGGAAATGTCGAATAGGTTGCAATTAAAGTCGCCGGCAATAACAATATACTCGTATTGAGATAAAATTTGTTGGTGTGTCTCCTCAAAACTAGATATGTTGCCGTGTGGCAAATACACCACACCAAATAAAATCTTTCTTGAATCTAAAATAATTTCGATAAAAATAGACTCGCAAACACCAGGATTATCAGATCGAAAAACTATCTTGTGCTTAAAACCATTTATAACGTAAATACCCACCCCTCCTCCTCTAACACTTGGACGGTCATTGCGGACGAAAGAGTAACCGGGTATAGAAACAGCTTTCGACGATATATAGGGTTTCAACCAAGTTTCAGAAACAGCAAAGAAAGTCAGACCACTGTTACACAAATGTCTTTTAAGTTCGCCTAAGGTGGTGCTGTAATTAGACGGACGAAGGCTCTGGCAATTTAGATGGCCGAAAGACATATAGTTTTTATATGGACTCAATCTGTTCTTAAGATAAGACGAATTACCAACAATAGGACCAAGATCACTATTTGATAACATTGAAATATGACAAAAATGTAATGGTGGGGAACCAAATTGCTAGTAAAACTGAGATCATGATGAAATTTTTGTAAAGCAACAATCAAAAATGGAAAAAAATAGTTTAAAACAAGAATGAAGAAAAAAAATTAATTATTCAAAAATATTCACCCCAGGAAAAACTATAAAAACTACTCGAAAATCGCCAAATATAACTAAATATGCAAAAAAAAAACAGTAGCAGTAAACGGTGGGGGGGGGAGTTATAATAATGAAGAGAAAGCATCTTGTTACAAAAGACTCTCACAATCACCGATTCTCAGAACTCGTTCATTTCCGTCAGGAAACACAGCATTCACTGCAGGTTCATCACCATTAATCAGTACGAACTTTTTTAGTTTGCCTTGATTTCTAAGCTTCCTACAAACATACATTAACCTAGCAGAAGCAGGTGTGAGGTGGTCGTCTAAATAGACGTTAGTTTGAAGATTGCCGCCGATAACAGCATTCAACTTTATTGGAGGCCCCCGACGATAGTTAGCCATAATAGTGTCCCTTAAGAACACAGAATTAAATTTTACTAAAACGGACGTACCACCAGCGAAATAACAGCAATGTTGCATATCTATTGGATTAAGGTAAACATTGCATATAGATGCAATTCTAGTGACAACGTCACTAATATTACGAAGTCCATTAGGCAATCCATTAATTACGACATTCGACCGATTTAGACGACGTTGAAGAATACCGTTCTCTATCTCCATCTTCTCAATTCTTCTCTGAAGAGCATTTATAGTGGAAATGGTGGATCTACATATTGCCATTTCTCCTTTAATGTCATCTAGCGACGTAGATATGGAGCCAAT